ACTTTCTACTAGGTTCATACTTGTTATATCCAGAATGCGTGTTCGGTTTATGCAAAAACATATGACAACAAAGAAAGCGCTAGGATATTCAAATTCCGCTGCTGTACAAGGTGTTGCGATAAATCATAGGTGGGCAACCGGCGGTCTGCTGGCAGAATCCGGACCGCGGAGGGAGTCGGAATGTAGTGCTTAACTGGACGAAAGGGAAGGGGGATTATAATCCGCCACGTTTCTGCAATCTCATGAAAATAAAACTAAAATGTACACGAAGCTAACAGACAACAATCCGGAAAATACTTTGACACCCTGTGTCAGTGATTCTGATTTCAACAATCATGTGTCAGAAGTTCGAGCCCGAAGGTCAAAATTTTTGGCAGGCAAGCTGTTAACCCGGGAACCAGAAAAGCTAGAGAGCTGAAACTTTACGGAGATATTTCCCATCCATGTAAGTATTAATGAGCTCAAATCCAGCTCCTGAGTATGCATGGTACCCACGTACGGGCCTGTGAAGATTTTTTTTTGGGTAAGTTGCTAACTCGGGAATCTGAAAAGCTGGAAGGCTGGAATTTTAAAGGAATGCTCCCCGTCCAAGTAAGTATTAATGAACTCAAACCCACCCCGCGGGTGTGCGTAATTTCTACGTACAGGCCCGTGAAATCTTTTTTCGGGTAAGCTAACTCGAGAACCTGAAAAGTTAGAAGGCTGGGATTTTAAAGAGATTTTTCCCATCCATGTAGGCCTTAATGAATTCAAACTCAGTCCATGGACAAGCGTAGTTCCCACGTATGAAGCCGTGACAGTTTTTTTGGGTAACTTGCTAAATACGTTGCAGTAAATCTAGAAGGCTGAAATTTCAAAGGGATGCTGCCCGTCCAAGTAGGTTAATTAGCTCAAACCGAGCCCCTGGTATGCATGTTTCCTATGTACGAGCCCGTGAAAGTTTTTATGGGTAAGTTAATAACTCGGGGATCAAGAAAGCTAGAAAGCTGAACTTTTAAAGAGATGTTTTCTGACGGTCCTGACGACCAATCTCAAATTCTTTTAGCTAGGTGGCATCTACCGGAAAAAAGTGTCGTTAGCGACAAAAAACTGCGGGGAATTATGCAAAAAACGCATCTTCGCATCGGCAGTCGGGCGCAGGCCATTTATTGTTTATATTTTACTTTATATAACTGGACATCCTCTTTTTCAGTCTTGACGCTCTAGTAGCACCCTCACGTCGAATTTTTCGACTAATTTACACGGAGAAAAAAGTCATTCCCCCGAATTTCTTAAGCCCCAGCGTTATCACTTCACACCTTGATGGTTTGTCCTCCTCCTTCGTTATCTGAAATGTAACCCTGTGGGTTTTACCTTTGTTGTCTGCGGCCAGTGGAATATCGCGCTGTCGACTGCCCCGTTCACGCTTCTCCTGCAAACAAACATTCCCAGCTTATTTTTTGTCCTAGTAAAGGCAAGAAATTTGTATCTCACCGACTGTTGCCGGTCCCCGAATAATTTTTGTGCTTGTTCGAATCCAAACATTTCTTTCCATTTTACGATCTTTTCTAATATCATAATTCTTCATTCCTTTTTTACCTATTTCATAACATTTCCTTTTCATTCTTTCAATCTCAGCGTAAAATTTGATTTTGTGGCGCACATAGTGTCTGCATATTTTGCACCAAAAGTCTTAAAATATATAGCTACATAAAATACGCATCTGATCGCTTAAATAAAGCTGTTGGCTTTTCTGGCCAAACCACTCACCAAAAAGAGAGAAGTTAAGCGTTCATTGTTATTCAGATGTCGACGAACTAATGATGCATCAAAAGATCGCCGCAGTTTACGAGCACGCTTCGAATGTTCCCGACGATTTCGTTCCCCTCTA